AGGCCACACAACAGAACCTCCCAAGACGAAGCGAGATCGGCGCCGCCTAACGCTCCCGTGGCTCCCGCAGCGAATTCGAAAGCTGCCCAGCACCTGAGCAGCGCTGGTCAGAAGCGAAACAAGGTCTACCACGACACCGACATCCGCCGCCACAAGCCGCCCTTTCCTGGCAAAGTGAAGATGACAAGCGAGGAATGGACCCAGAACCAAATTACTACCTCGAAAATCCTGTACGGTGATCGCTTTGACCCTAACAACATCTGCTCCGACTGCGGCCACGCCGGACATTGGCTCGGCGACTGCGTCTTTCCCGACGACAACGGCACCATCATGGGATGTCCGATCCATAACACGAAGCTTCACGTCCTCGACGACTGCCCAGACCTGCCGCACATGAGCTTGCAGCAGCGCGTGACAATCATGGTCGTACGCAGGAGGAACAAGCCCGCGATCCGGTCGAGGAAGCCGTGGATCGAGTTTGTCAAGGAAGCTATGGGCCAGGGCCTAGAGGAGCTGGTCTGGGCGCCCTCGGTGTGGACGCAGGAGTTTGTGTTGCGCATGATTCACGACCGCAAAGCCCATCAGCCGTGGCTCGACTTCGATTACGGACGGGACCTCGTGTCCAAGTTGCCTGTCGATCCGGAGACACAGGGAGATCTTAGGTCTTTGCTCCGGAAGTGTTCTTTGTGGGACCAGGTTCATAGGCCTGTCCGTCAGGCTCGCTGAGCATGCTATTCGTCTTTCGAGGGTTCGGGTTTGGTGTGTTCATATCTGTGACCGGATGTCTAGTATACGAGGTTGAGGCGAAGATGGACGCGGGATGGGTTTGATGATGAATGATATGCGTCTCCACAGTCTGTGTACGATACTCTAGATAGGTCACGTCTGATACTATCTTGGTGCGGTGTCATGCTGGGCTCCAAAACTTGTGATATTGAAGGGTGCTGCTTCCTTGTAAACACAGGATCGAAGCATGGGAACTGCGTAAAGACACGTTCTATTCCCATTTCACATAACAGATTTTGCAAACCGTGCGTAGGCATAGGTAAACGCGTTCGTTTCTGAACTTTTAGGTTGGCTAAATTTTGGCCATCTTTCTACTTCAACATCTCAAAACACGCAAGAATTCCGTATTTTTATTCCTACATCACAGCGCCCCCCTCAAACGCTAACAAGCTCCATCTTGACACCTCTCTTACCCGTCATCTCATCCTTCTCATCCGTAACCTTGACCTTGACCTTTTGGAACAGCTCCACCCGCAGCTCCTTGCTCCCGCTCGTGGTAAGCACATAATTCTCCGCGTCAAAGGTACTCTCGGGCTCGGGCTCCGCGAGGTCCCGCAGCCGAATCAGGCCCTCGATACCGAACCGCGGGACCAACACGACGAAACCGTTACTGAAGATCTTCATGACAAAGGCCTCCTCCTCGGCGACGCGGCCCTTGAGGGCCTGGCCGACGTAGTAGGCGATGCTGGCGCGGCCGGCGAGCTGGGCGTTGCGGTGGCGGACGTTGATGTTCTTGCAGACGGCCTCGAGGCGGCCGCGGCTGCGGACGGCCGGGTGGATGGCCTCGTAGCCGATGGCGGCGGCGAGCTGGCGGTGGGCGACGAGGTCGGCGTACCGGCGGATGGGGGAGGTGAAGTGCGTGTAGATTTCCGAGGCGAGACCGTAGTGGCGGAATTCCGGGTAGGCCTGGGTGCCCGAGCAAAAGTACTCGGCGGACATCATGCAGCGGGTGGCCATGATGCGGACTAGGGTGTTGAAGAAGGGGTCGACGGGGTCGACGCAGGTGTCGAGGGAGTCGGCGAGCGCCTTGCTCGAGTCGACGCGGAGCTCGAGGCCCTTTTTGACGCGCAGCTGGTTCGAGAGCTCGTCAAAGTTTGTCTTTGGCGGGGCGCCGTGGCGGCGGAGGATGGCGGTCTGGGGAAACGCCTCGTAGATTTTGGCGGCGACGCTGACGTTGGCGAGAAGCATGAACTCCTCGACGAGGGACATTGTGTCGAGGTGCTGCTTCGTCTTGACGTCGATGGGATCCGACGTCTCCGACTCCATCTGCACCTTGACCTCGGGGGAGGACAGGCTGAGGGCGCCGGCGTCCATGCGCTTCTGCTTCAGCTTCTTGGACAGCATCATGAGCGTTCGGATGCTGTTGGTGAGGTCGTCCTGCTGCGAGGCGTCGTCGACGCGCAGCTGGGCCGCCTCGTAGCTGAATGCCTCCTTGGACTGGATGACGGATTTGGTGAAGCGGGCGCCGACGACGTCTGCGTTGGCATTCATCTCCCAGATACAGGAGAAGGCGTAACGCTCGACGTAGGGCTTCAGCGAGCACAGGTCGGTACCGAGAAGCATCGGCAACATATCGATTCTCTTGTCGACTAGGTACACGGTGGTGCCTCGCAAGCTGGCCTCCGTGTCCATGGCATTGGCGGGCTTGACAAAGTGGGAGACGTCGGCAATGTGGACGCCAACCTCAAAGTTTCCGTTGGGGAGAGGCCTTGCGTGGAGAGCGTCGTCGATATCCTGGCAGCCGATGGGGTCGATACTGCAGATGAGGAGCTTGCGGAGATCCTCTCTGTCCCTCCAGCCGGGATCTTCCAGGCTCTGTGGTACTCTCCAGTCGTGGCCCTCCTTTGGCAGACAGTCGAGCACCGTCTTGGGGAAGGGACGGTATTGCACGTCGTACTCCAGCAGGAGGGCCTCCGTCTCCGCGGCCTTGGTCTCGAGCTCACCAAGCGAACGCACAAAGTGGCCCACGGGGTGCCGGGAATCGCGGTCCCAGGCGTCAATCGTGACCAACAAGCGCTTGCCGAGAAGCTCGGAAACCTGTCTCGAGCGCAGCTTGATCTTGGGAATGCGCTTGTCCATGGGGATGAGGAAAACATTGTCCGACTTGCGGCCCTGGCCGCCGCTCTTGCTCGCAGACGAAGGGTCAATATGTCCGACATACTGCCGCCAGTTACGCTTGATGACGCCGACGACCTTTGCCGTCGGTTGCGGCCGGCCTTCGGTGCTGTTCTTATGCGTCTTCTTCACCTCCTCCTGCAGTGCCTTGCGCTCCTTTTCCGAAACGAAGTCCTGCGCTTCCTCCCCGTCGGCGTTCTCGTCGCGCGTGACCGCCTCTTCCTCGATGATCTTGGTCGACGGCTCCTTCCACTGGTCCTTTGGCAGAACCTCAACCACGACTACATCGCCGCTTACGGCCCGGTTGATGTTCTCTCTGCCGAGGACGATGAGAGGCTTGGGGAATGCGGGTACGTGAATGGAACCCTCCAGGTAGTTGTACGGCGAGACATTGAAGATGCCCTGGTGAAGAAGACCGGCCTTGACGCCGGTCATCAGCTTCGACATGGTGAAGTATTCCGGGTAGATCGGGCCGGCGGGCTTCTTGGAAAAGCTTGAGTTCCGCGACTCGGCAATCATGTCCAGCAACCTCTCGCCATCCTCGAGACCGCCGACGTACTCGGAGAGTGACATGGCTGCGACACCTTCGGTCTTGGCCTTCCTCAGGCAGTCCTGGTCGTCGCTCAGCATCACGACGGCGGGCACCGTCTTGGCCTTTGTCTGCGCCAGGTGGTCGGCGTACCACTTCACCGCCTTGCGCACGGCGCGGTCGTTGCGGTCATTGACCGTCTCATTGGACTCCCGGTTGACGTACGTCTCGAGGCGGAAGTCGTTGAAGAAGACGTAGAAGCGCTTGTCCTCGCTCTTTGTGAGACCGACGAGGCGGTTGTACAGGGGCAGCGAGCGGTTGCGCAGCTCCTCGAGCACCGTCTGTAGAATGACAACGTCGTAGAAAGCCGAGCTCTGCTCAAAGAGATCCATGGCGTTCAGCAACGCGTTGGTGTCGGGGACGATGTAGTGCCCCTGGGGGAACGCCTTCGTCCCCGCCGGCTTGTCAGAGAGAACGAAGGGTTGAACTGGAAGGCATTGTTTAGTTGTCATGTTCGTGCGGTAAATCGAAAATGGGGTAAACTCACCATTGTTGGCTGCATCTCTGGGCGCCGTCTGCAGACAGACCCGGCACAGCTTTGACGAGCAGGGGATATCTTGACGCAGGTAAACCTCCCTCACAATCTTCTGAACCTTGCCCTTTCTCGTCGAACGGACGTAGACCTTGCTCGAGATATTGGCGGCGAAAGGGTCCGTCTCGAACGAACGCTTAAGACTCGTCATTTTTTCTGACCTGTCGATTTCTCAGTCGCCTTTTTGTCGAAAAAATGAGTTAGCGACGATGGCGATGAATTTTCTTTGAATTTATTTATTTCGCCGCCCCTTCACACTGGGCTGGGCACTCTTTGATGATGAAAATTGAAGTGAGGTGAGGCGCGGTCACCGTGGGGCGGCTGACAAACGAATCAGGAAGCCTGTGGCGCTTGAACGGTTCCTTACCTTATCGAGAACGTCCGTTCTTCCTATCTCTTATCGATAATGGAACCATCAGCGTCATTGCATCACCTCCCGTCACCACCTCACCGGGCAGACGTGACACCTCAGTTCTGGTGTACCCAAGGTAGGTACGTACCGCAGACTTTCGGTTCCGAACGACGCATCATGCCGTGCACCCCAAGATCAATATCGTGGTTCGCACCTCTCGACAGCAGCTGGACGCGACAGGCTTGCCAACCCGTGTTGTCACCATTAATTTAAGGAGGGCTGTCTTGTCCTCGCCGACAGCCTCATCGGGAAGCAAAATCTTTGTGCTAGTCGACGCGGGACTCGGATGAGGCTGGCCCGAGGAGAGTCAAGTCACCAAGGGAATCTCGTATACGGGCACTCTTCGATTGTTCAATGGCTTGTCATGGTGGCTCACCATGGCGCGCCGCGTTCTCCCTTCTGTCGACCGACGGATGGGTATTGTGAAAAAGAGTTACTATAAGCCGACGAGCCGAATCTCTCGTACTCAAGCATCGCTGTACTTGGAGATGCCCACGAGAAGCGCGTAGAGTTAAGATTCAACCGCCGACTACCTAGATAAGAAAGCAATCCCGCTGGGTCCAAAGCTACCCGACTCCCCCATGTGATCCTCTGTCGTCGTCGGCGTCGTCTCTTGTCTTCCCCGACGAGCATGGTCGCACGGCGTCGTTCCCGAGTCTCTGTCTCTTTACGTTGGGCGCCCCCAGTTCCGCCCACGAGCGCACGGCGGGCGCCACGACGGGAAGAGGGAGAGAAAAAAAAAGCAAAAATAAAAATAAAGCTTGTGTAACTTTGACGCTTTCTCGCTGGTTACACAGAGGAGAGGAGGGGGAAAAGAAGAATAAGAAGCTACAATATCCAAAAATAAGAACGACGAAGGAAGCGATGAATGGGATTACTTCGTCCCATCAATCGGGAAACAAACCAACCTGTTTCGTAGACACGCCCCCTTGTGCTTGGTCTTTCGTGTTTGTGTGGTTGTAAGTATGTGGATGTTTGTGTGTGTGTGTGCTCGGAGAGTGTGTGCCGCCTCAAACGTGACGTTTTCCCTTCTCCTCGAAAAAAGAATCCAACTCGTGGGAGGGGTGTGTGTATGTGTGCCGTCCGGAATAAAATCCGTAACAGAAAACCGATTAATCGAGGGATCAGAGCGGCGCGAAGACCGGGATTGTAAAAGCTTTTGCTTACTGATATTCCGCGTTTGGTTATCAATCACCAAATGGGCTTACCTTACTTCGCCCATGATATGATCTACAGGAAGGAATCACGAAAGAATGAAGAAAAGGGCTACGGTTACGGGGACTCTAACCGGCCTCTGGCCGCTTTTGCCACGCCATGTCAGGTCAGGTTGCCCTGCTTGGATCGGCCGCCCCGGTTCCGTGGCCCAGGCGGCCAAGGGGGAGGGGAGAACGCACGCACACTTGCACGCACGCACACATCGCTCGCGAGGCCACGGCGGGAACGGCCCTCATGTCAGCGTTGCATCCTGCTGGAAACCGTAGTCCCCTTCCCTCGATCTTACGGGGGAGAATCATGAAAGGAAGGGGAGGGGATGGGGGCGGCATGGCATGGCAAGGGCCAGGCTGGCTTCTGCAGGCGTCCGAGAACTCTTGGCCAGGCGCGGGAACGCACCAGGATGTGAGTGAGAAAACGGTTTTGCTTGACCAGCAGGAACCAGAGATGAGACGTCGGCTGCAGAAGGCTGGGCCGTTCACATCTCTGTCCATTGTTCTTCCATCTTCCATCTTCCATCGGTCCAAAAGGAAGAATTGCCGGAGCCAGGCCAATTGAGGAAGAAACCCAATCTGGGCTTATCGAGTCTGTAGCGGCTCGGCCATGAGAGTTTTCCCAAGTCATGACAATAGAGAAATATCGTTTCGGCCGGGAGGCCGGGATTGTGGTACTCGGGGCTTCTTCCTGCATCGCAGTGCATCGCAGATGGTAAAGAGTTCGAAAACGTGGGCTTTGTGGGACCCTGAAAAACCTTGGCCGAAGCAGCTTATTCTTCTGCAGTGCCTTGGTGCTTCCAGCATCAAGTTGCTGGGCATCAGCAGACATTGAGGTTGACGTCCAAGGGCCCGAGAGCCACACCAAGGGCCACGCCCCGTCGCATTCGCAGCGTATTGCGTACGAGTCAGCCGCATGAAAGCAAGAGCAAACAACCTCCCTAGGTTCGGCTCGTCGTCTGAATAAGCTATGAGCAAGAGTCGTAAAATACCGTAAGCTGAGGAAGGTGAGACAGAATAGGAACGGGGCATAAATCCACGACGACACACACACGCACACATCTGTGCGGAGGCGGGAGCTAAAAAAGCGACTGTCACGGGCTGGGCCAAACCTGTTTTACAAATGTGTTAATCGTCTCCACCGGGAATCGTTGAAAGAAACATGTTGCGCCACGGAGTGGCCAAGGTGAAGCGTACGGGGGCCAATGGCGGTTCTCGCGTGTCTGGACACAACGTCTAGCAAGGTCCATCGCTGTCGGTCCTGGTCCTGGTGGTATTCCGTCGACCGGAAGGCAGTATAAGGTATTGCGTAGATAGGTAGGTAGGTAGTTAGTTACACTGGCCATGGCAACCGAGAGAAGCGACGTGATGTTCAAGTGCCGATGGTACCGCTGTGTCGATTGCACCGCGAATTGTCCTTCCGACTGGTACGGTTACCGTGTATCTGTGAGAGTTGATGAACGCCCCCGAGGCTGTCTGTCCCAAAAAGCCGGCCACTGGCTGGCAGAATGGCACACCAGTCGGCGATGGGACCCGGTTGGAGGGTCCCGCGATGATCGATCAAACAAACCACGGACGCCGGCGAGGGTTAGGTTACGTTACGCATGGCCGCCCGTAAGACGAGGTAGGCGACGTATGAAGAAGGAAACATTAGGGGCCCTTTCGGCGTCTGATGGTTGTAGCAAAAGGTAGATGGGAGCTCTTGGAAGGGGAAGAGAGACACAGACGTGAATGGATGACGATGTATTTTGGACGTATTGGAAGAAAGGGTGACATCGTCTTGATTGCCCCTCTTGTCCCCTTGGTAGGCCTACTAGAGCATGAATCAGAGATTACCCAGATGAAGGAAAAGGGAAAAAAAAGAAAGCAAACCACCAAACGATGAAGGCATGCATATATCCCGTCCCTCCACCAGGGAACTTGGAGAGGGCATGGCAGGCCGCCAACCTAAGCGTACATGAGGAGATGTGAACCGTTGCCCATGAACAATTAAACGGGGGTTGGCCAAAGAGAGGGGCAGAGGCATAGCTATTATGACTTACATATGTAAGTATGTTAAGCTGGGGGTGTGATGGTTCATGGTGGTGTAAGAGGTGGTGTGGTGGTGAAGGGAAGGGTGGTGGCCGTGTCTCCACAGCGGCTAGACACCCGCAGATGTATATTGGCTGCTGGTGCTGCTGGTTACTGGCTGCTGGGTGTTGTCTGCGAACAGGAAGCGATGGAGATCGGAATCGACCATGCCTGAATGGGTTCCCACAAAGGAAAAGGTGATGGGCGAGATCATCTCCATAGCTATGTAGATGCTCTTCTGCAGTTGGAGGGAACATGGAAGGGGAAGGGGAAGGGGAAGGGGGTGGGCAGGCAAGGCAAGGCAGGGCAGGGCAGGGCAGGTCGAAGACGGGAAGGGGAGGGGAGGGGAGGTACCTAGGTGAAGGTGGGGAGCTTGGGAGCGTGATGGGAGGAGGCTGAAGAAGAAGAAGAGGTTCAGGGGGTGTGAGAACTGCGAATGGTCAGGCACGTCGCAAACTGGGGGAACAAAGGGCCGCCCCCCCCCCCCTTCTTCAACTGGAACTGGCAGCTGGGTTTCGATCGGGGAAGAGGGATGGCACTGGATGGGTACAGTATATTGTAGTAGAGGGGATGGAGGGGAGAACGTGAAAGATGGAATGGGGGAATAGATGAGCGTTCGCTGCTGCTGCTGCTGCTGCTGCTGCTGCTGCACGAGCGGGTAGCCAGGGTCCAAAGGGTAGTTCCCGCACTGCAAAAAGGAAACACAGCGGGCCATGTCCACCTGCCAGACCTTGTAAGGTGTAACTACCTTAGGTAGGTTTTGCAACTTGTAGTGTCACTGCCCCGGTCTCCGTACGAAGTTAGGGAGTACAGAGTACCTACTCCCCTCGCCGTGTAAGTCGTTTCCGCCCCCGTCCATCCAGTCTCCCGTCCCGTTAGCAACGCCCCCCAGTCACCTTCCCCGGCCGGTGCCAATCTCAGTCAAGGCATGCCTTGTTCAGCCATCAACAGCAAGAAGGACCAAAATCTACCGTCATCATCATGGCTTCTCAAAATTCTCTTCAGACCGATAGCATGTAGTTCATAGGCGGATCGAGGCTCGCTTGTCACTTAGCCCTATAATCATCTATTGTGCGGGCTTCACTTACTGGTGTTGTTAATTCCCGTCAGGAAGCAATAGAGGATAACCTCGATGTAGAAATGAACAGCACCATCACATTCACCACTGGCTCAACATGAGCTCACAGACACATACTAATGCTACCGAGACAACACACTACCTACCCCATACAAGGAAATAGCTTATACGGATAGCAATGGGCAGCGATTGGCGTCCACCCCAGCATGATAAGCGGCAAGCCTCAACGTTGGCGAAAGCACCTACCTATGTACCTAGCACCCCTCGCCGGCCTCTTCTGCTTCAGCCCTCCCACTTGTCTTCTACCCCAGACCATTGGGTGCCGCTGTGCCGGCATTCTCTCTTTGACAGCCACCCATCACAGCTAGCAGTGGGCATGTACTCGACACCACCCATCCAGAGTGGGAACATGGCTATCCGTTCCCGAGACGAGGCCCAGACGCAAGGGCCATGAGCCGCTGTTGAGGCCGGGAAAGAAGAAAGCCAAGGGCAGCTCAGGATAGCTCAGGACAGCTCAAGATGTGTGACTGCCATCACCTACCCGCACCTCCCCTGGCAATATCCTCTGCCTCCACGGGCCCGTGTCTCCCTGTATTGTGTGCCCATACATCGTTGGAAGAGGTTATCCTGCCGAGGCTGATGCAGCAGAGGCAGCAGCAGAAGCAGCAGCTTCTCTGCACCACCAATCACCCATCCACCCATCCATATCCACTACCGGCAGCTTGTTGTGGACCACGATAACAACCTCTCGGTTGTTGCCGTGCATTTGGACTGGCACGGCTCGTTCGGGGAGAATAAATTGGTTGGAGGTGTGGAAACTCGCCCACCCATAGCCACAACCCTCTTCGTCCGTTGTTTCGTTTCTCTAAACCCTTTCATCGCCTTCTACTCTTGCAGCAGTATTGCAGGCACTGCTGCTTCCTAGCTTGCATCAAGTCATCCCAAAAGGACGGAAAGGGAGCAGCACCTCTGGTGTCTGCTGTACACCACCACGCCGGTCGTCCCCTCCATCACCATCAACCCCTGGTTAACTGCTCACAAGGCCGTGCCCTGCTCATGCTATGCGAAAGGAAACAGATGTCCATCCATCATGAGTGTGGGGTCTTTTTTGAACCCATGATTTCTTTCTTGGCTTGTGCGTCGGTCATGAACGTGACTTGTTGATCCAATCGCATACGGGGATTCGGGGTGAACCAACAGCCAAGGCGTTTCTACACAGTAGGCCATCCTTTCGTCGATGGCTCTCCCCTCCATCTTCGCAATCGCTGCCGCCAATGCCTTGCCCCATGCCTGTTCATTCCTTGTTGGAGGGCACAGGGCCATACTGTGCAGTAGCTGTATTGTATAGCTACGCAGTAAGCTCGATTCTTCACACCACCTTTCTCCGAGGCAGAAGATTCCCACGTACAGTCTGTCTCCTCCTCCCGAACAAGCATGTCTGATCCCATCACTCTTGATCTTTTGATTTGTCCAGCTTTGTTGTGCTGCCGGGGCACTGTCCAGTTGTTGAGTCATCTGGTTCGCAGTAGCGTCAGCATATCTTACCGTGGTCCCTCCGCTCCTTATCTGCACTCTCAGCCGCTGCCGAGGAGGACGCGTTGTAGAGGCGCGACACCCTGACGCGAGGTAACGACAAGCAAGAGCCTGGCCATCATGATCATTCGCGAAACAAGCGGGGAAATCTGGCCAAAGCCACGCGAGACCTCTGTGGTTGACCGGTCTTTTGCTTCCATTATGTCCGAGGCATCTCCGCCCTGCGGAAGTCGTCTCGGCGGAATCCTTCCTCGTTCTCGATTTCGATATGCACACATCCCAGCTTTGAGCCACCTCGGCTGAAACGCATCCACTCGTCGACAATTCTTGCTTGTCGACGTCA